CAACTACTGCAAGAATTGAAGCCGAACGACCAACCGCAATGGAGTATTTTTTATTAATTAGTCTCGTGTTCAGCAACGGAGCTCATTTTTAGGTTCAAGGGTACTTAAACAATCAGAATCGACATTTTGGAGTGTTGATCAAACAGATCCATTGCAAATGCTACCGAAATATCAATCTGGGTGTCCTATTGGGTAAACATGAGTAGTTTGGTGCACCATTTACTAAAAATTGGACAAAAAAAATATTCGAAAAGCTATATCGAAACTATCATCGAAACTTGTCTCAAGTAATGTTATACTAATTTCAGTATGTTTTGTGCATATCGGCCACATTTTGAGTTCTTGGTGCATCATGTATTTTGAAATCGGGAGATAATATTTATAGGAGCACTATCCAAATCTTAACCGATCAACTTTGTGCAAAATTTTGTGCCAATCGGACCCACCTTGGTGAAGTATTTAAATCCAATTTCTAGGTTATACTAACTTCAATACGTTGTGCGAAATTTGTGTCAATTTTGTGTTAAATCGGACGAAAATATATATGTGGAAGCTATATCAAAAGCTGGACCGATTTCAAGGAGACTTGCCAGAGATTAACTTATATTAACTACAGTTCATTGTACAAAATTGTGTGGCAATCGGACAAACTTTGGGTCTTTAGTGCACAATTTACATAAAATTGGACGAAAATATATATGGGAGCTATATTTAAATCTGGACCGATTTTCAGGAAACTTAACACAAATCATTGTAGACCAAATTGAGTGCGCTGTGCCAAATTTCGTGCAAGTCGAAAGATATATAGGGACTTTGGTACACCATTTTCATTAAATCGGACGAAAATATATATGGAGGCTATATTTAAATCTGAACCGATGTTCACTAAGTTTCGTGAACATCGCATTATTCCCGACTTAATTCATTTCAGTTAAAAATGCGACCTGTACTTTGTTTGCAATTTAATATGGACAGACAGACGGACGGACATGCATAAATCGACGAAAAAAGTGATTCTATGCATATTTTCAAAAGGAACCATATGCCTATCTCGTTTCCTTTAGCCTGTTACAAACATATGCACAAAGACATAATACCCTGTACCACAGTGTGGTGAAGGGTGTAATTATATTCAGCAGAAAAAAAATCAGAATCGACATTGTGGAGTGTATATCAGACAAAACGAATGCAAAGGCTACCGAAAAAGTCACAGTTTGTGTTGGTGGCATCATTGGTTCTTACATCTTCAAGAATGCTGCGAATGGTGATCTATATTATATTCAAATTGTTTGTTTGCCAATACATAGATTTGAATTAAAATTGTTCCTCCAATATGTATTTTTATCCTATGAGAACTAGATATGTCTCTAAAAAGCCATACGGATTTTAAAATGTGTCTAAGGCCTCAAACATATCTAACATTTATATGTGGACCATATTAAAACATGGATATACATAAAGAGTGTTTTACCCACTGTTTTTGTGATAAATATACACAATATAGTAGGGAAAATGCGGTTAAACCCTTCAAAATACCGAAAATGGCATAGCCTCCATATAATAGGAGCATGACTATTATATGGAGGCTATGCCATTTTCGTGGACCTACATTGAAAAGTTTCTTTATTATATTAGCCACCCATAAAAAATCGGGAATGCGAAATCATGGTGTGTGGTATGTTAAGTCAAAATGTGGACTCCTAAATTTCTTATAGAAATCAATAAGACAGTTCAGCATTCGAAGCATGTTCAGCATGTTTGGAATCTCATATATCTTTATGTTATTTACTGATTTCATCTGTCAATGCAAACCTTTTAGAATTCTTCTAAAAAAGTAAAAATAAAAATAATTAAAAAACATATATATTTTTATATAAAAAATCATTTTTATTTCTTCATAATAAATTATTACAACATAAATGGATTTATTTTATGTCAAAACAAAACAAAAAGATATTCATTATAATTAATAACAAATCGATCGATATTTACTTAAAATTACGACAAATAAAATGATACTTAAATTTAATTATTTTTCGCTTAAAAAATACAGATATGTCGATGTTAGTATTTATATGGAATCAGCATATAATGCAAAATAACCTTAATGTTGATTTAGTGTAATAAATGAAACAAAGAATAACCTAAAGAAAAAATTATTGGCCGTTTAGAAAAAATTGGCTTTAAGTTTCAAAATATCTAAAAACATCATCGCATATAATGAATATTCAGAAAATATATTACGGTAAGCAATCTTTATCCATTGATTGCTCATAGTAATATATTTTTCAAGACTTCATTAAATTCGATACTTTTTTGAAATTTGCAAGTTTTTACAATTTGGATTTTTTTTGTCGGTGAGGTATTAATTCGATAGGCAATCATCTGATACTTCATATAAAATATACAAGTTTTTAAAATCTTCTCCCTTTGTATAGAAGCTACCAGAAGCAGTAGACGAATCTTTTTCGGACTGGATTTATATTTGGTAAAAATAGTACGATCTGCAGAATATGGATGAGATTGGATACTCCGGATGATTGGATACTTCATGTGATATTTAAAATTCGTTAAAGTTTTGACCCTTTGTGGGGGAAATACTAGAGGAGTGGACAAATGAAAGTCGGACTGGGCCGATTATATGATACCTTTCACCACTTTGGGTATATTGCGCATATGTATCCTTACATTTACAAGGAACAATTTAATTTCATTCGAGCAGATTTAGAGTCGTCTGCATACCATCGGATCAATTTATGAAAAACGTCTTATAGCAAAATTGATACACGCTATTCGGTACGCCGCACTGTTAAAAATTTAATTGCAATCAGATACCTGTTCGAAATATACATGGAAGCTATGGCCGCATCTGCACCAATTTCAACAAAACCCAATAACGACATTCAAGTCTCAATTTGATACATTGTTCAAAATTTCTTGTTAATCGGACAAACATTAGGAGTTTGGAGAGCCATTTATGTAAAATCGGACGAATATATATGAATATATGAGAGCTATATAGAAATCTGAACCCATCCTAAACTTACTACATATCATACTAAACACAATTCAGTACTCTCTGACAAATTTCATGCAAATATGTAAGGAATTTGGTGCACCATTTACATAAAATCGGACGAAAATGTATATGGGAGCTATATCTAAATCTAAAACGATTTTCACGAAATTTAACACACATCGTTTTAGACTTAATTCAGTAGGCTATGCCAAATTTCGTGCAAATCGAAGGATATATAGGGATTTTGGAGCACTATTTACCTCTAATCGGACGAAAATATATATGCGAGCTATATCTAAATCTGAACCGATTTTTCCCAATTTCAATAGGGTTGGTCCTTGGGTCGAATAAGTGACCTGTACCAAATTTCATCAAATTCGGATAACAAATGCGACCTGTACTTTGTTTACAATTTAACATGGACAGACAGACGGACGGACATGCATAAATCGACTTAGAAAGTGATTCTATGCATATTCTCAAAAGGAACCATGTGTCTATCTTGTTTCCTTTTGCCTGTTACAAACATATACTTAAAGACATAATACCCAGTACCACAGTGTGGTGAAGGGTATAAAAACAGTCTCAATTTATAAAAAAAATATTTTAGAAGGACTATCAGAAAATAAGCCTGGACTAAAACCGCAAACACATTTGAGGGCAACTGGAAACCTGGATTTAAAAAAGACATTACACATTATTTTTTATAAATCCATAAAAAATGTAAAAATACGGTGAAGAGTTTATATCGTCGTGCAATATTGATCCTAGACCCACATTTTAATATACTGATCGTCATCTCGACTAGCTGAGGAGATCTAGTTATGTGTGTCCATTTGCCCAATATAAATTGTAAATGTATTGGCAGGGCACAGTTATGGACCTATCGTCACGAAATTTTGCATATGAATCCGGTTCTGACAAAATAAGACACTTTATTTTGTTTGTTTGTTTTTCGGGTCACACTAGAGGTCTCAATTATGAACCGAACTTCATGGAATTTTACATGAGAAAATAAATTTCGGCGATTAATAAATATGATTGTTTTCATGAAGATATGCCAATATTTAGCGTGTCAAATAGACCATATTTATCAAAAATTTCGATCTATATCGTTTATATTTACAGCAGAAGGTCATATATCGGACAGGTTGACAGTATGTCAATGAAGAGTGGTTGACCTTTGAATTGATGTCAATTATATAGATGTATGTGCTCGGAAGTTGTACCAAAACTATTTATAGGTGTATTGTGATGTTGTTAAGTATTGCCCTTACCACACTCTAGAAGGCGGAAATGTCACGTTGATCGTCGTTCTGATCAGATCGTTTCGTTTCTGATCAGATGGTTTTTAGGAGGTTAAATTGATTAAAACCCTTTATGATGTCTGTTTTTCAAGTCGCTCTAGAAGTGACACGTATAAGCACTCTAGAGTTTGGAAATATGGGGAAATATTGCCCTGGTTCCGAATACAGGTCCGAAAAATGTTAATGTCCCGTGGTAATTGTGTAGGGTATTATATAATCAGCCCCATTCGAATATACTGCTCCGCTCACTGATTTAACTTTAATTAATATTTATTATTTTTTAATATTTAAATTCGTACAAATTTTAAAAAAAATCGACATAGGCTATTTTGCATTTATGTTGACGATATTAAAAAAATACATACATATATTTCTTATAAAACTTACAAATTAATTATACATACATAAACAACATATAATATAGAATGTGCACCAAGTAGCAGAGTGATGGGGATCCAAAATGTCAGAAATTACGGTGTTTATTATACAAAGTGCTTATAGAGGATACGCAGGGGATATGGATAGAAATTAGAGCATCTGTAGGTGTAAATTCCACATCAACCAGAAGAAGGCAAGGTGTTGAAGGTGCCATTCAATTAATGGGGGAAATGTGCTGAAGACAGTTTGTGACAATAAACGTTGATTGGGGTTTATGTTGCTGTTGCTGTTATGTCTCAGAAGAAACGTGCCGATGAAGATGCTGTTGCCAGCGGTGATGTAGACTGGTGCTGCTGATGGTGGTGTGGTTGTTGTTGTTGGGAAACATAATTATTTATGCCATGATTAAGAGCTAAAATTTTATTGATTATTTTAAATTCTTCTAAATTATTTAAAACGGGACTTAATCTATGTGCGACATTACCTGATGCTGAAGACGGCTGCTGCTGTTGTTGTTGTTGCTGATAATAATTTTGGGCATTTTGTTGCAATTGATTACTGATGTCTGGATTCAAGTGCTGGCGATAAAAATTCTGAGACTCATAATTTTGTTGTTGTTGATTCTGCTGCTGTTGTTGTTGCTGCTGCTGATTGAATTGCGAGAAAATGTGACTGGGATTGGTCTGCACTTGATTTATACCAAAATTCCCGGTATTCACTTCTTGACGGAAAAAGCGTGCTCGGTGTTGACCTGAGGGTTGCTCCTGTTGTTGTTGTTGCTGCTGTTGATAACGATCCAGTATGGCATTGCTGACATATTGTGGCAGTTGGGGAGCATTCTGTTGAAATTGTTGATAGTTCCTTTGTGGCAATGCCTGCACCAATGACAATTCTGCTGGTGGTTCTGGTAAGGCTGGGGCAAAGGTGGGCACAATTGTCAATTGATTGGAGGGTTGTATTTGTATGCTCGATATACTGGAAATACTTTGACTCTGTTGCTGTTGTTGTTGCTGCTGCTGTTGTTGTTGGGCAATTTGAATTTTTTGTTGTAAATTGTGGAATATTTGTTGTATGGGATTATTGGCAGCTGATACTTGTTGTGATGGCTGTTGCAGTGGTAGAGCTGACGGAGGTGTCAAACCATTATTTGGGGCAAATTGATAATTTTTATTATTAACACCAGGTATAAATTTGCCATTGGATTCCCTTAATGGTAACTGTTGGTCCTGCGGAAATGTTGGAAACAATGGTGACATTTTCGTTTGGGTACTGGGTATAAATTCAATGGAGGGACGTATCGTAAAGCTTGTCTCATGCTGTGCGGTTGGTGCCACAGCCACCTGCTGTTGTTGCAGTGTTTGGCCATTTGCTGATGTCTGAATGGGTATGTTATTGGTTGATTGACCTCTTTGCCGGGTCTGTTCTTCCAGCAATTTCAATTGCCTTAATATCAATTCTTGTTGTTGTTGTGCTTGGATTTTCAACTGTAAAATTTGTTGTTCCAATTCACGTTGTTTTTCCAGTAAATAATCGTTGGGATTATTGAGTGGCTGTTGATGTTGTTGTTGTTGTTGTTGCTGCTGCTGTAGTTGTTGGTTGACATTTGAGGTCAATGGTTGTTTCTGTAAGGCAAAAGAAAAATAAAAAGGAAATGAAAAGTTGAAAAATGTGTAGACAAGGAAGGAAATGTTAGGGAAGGGAAATATATTAGCTTCGAATTTAAAGTGACAGAAAATCGATAAATATTTATTAAAGTGTTCGATGTCAGTCAAGGGGATAAACAAATTAAATGGATAGGTTGAGAAGTGTGAGACTTTATAAAAGAGCCGGAGGGAATATTTACAGAAGTGCAGATTGAAGTATCTTTAGACGAGCTGAAAGGGGTTTCTATCGACAAGCTGAAGGGAGCTGAATAGAGTCTCTATAGTTGAAGGATGTATCTGAAAGGAGTCTTTGTAGACGAGCTGAAGGGAGTCTTTATGGACGAGCTGAAGTGAGTCTTTATAGACGAGCTGAAGGGAGTCTTTATAGACGAGCTGAAGGGAGTCTGAAGAGGATTCTTTATATACGAACTTTAGATTGAAGGGAGTCTTTATAGACGAGCTAAAGGGAGCCTTTATAGGCGAGCTGAAGGGAGTCTTTATAGACTAGCTGAAGGGAGCCTTTATAGACTAGCTGAAGGGAGTCTTTATAGACTAGCTGAAGGGAGTCTTTATAGACGAGCTGAAGTGAGTCTTTATAGACGAGCTGAAGGGAGTCTTTATAGACGAGCTGAAGGGAGTCTTTATAGACGAGCTGAAGGGAGTTTTTAAAGAAGAGCTGAAGGGAGTCTTTATAGACGAGCTGAAGGGAGTCTTTATAGACGAGCTGAAGGGAGTCTTTATAGACGAGCTGAAGGGAGTCTTTATAGACGAGCTGAAAGGAGTCTTTATAGACGAGCTGAAGAGAGTCTTTATAGATGAGGTGAAGGAAATCTTTAAAAAAGGAGCTGAGGGAAGTCTGTATCTATACATGAAGGGAGTCCCCTCTATAAGTGGAAGGAAGTCTAGGAAGATAAGCTGAAGTACTTGAAGTCTTTATAGAGAAGTTGAGGGTCCGAAGTCTATGGATAAGGGCCTGAAATCTATATTCATGCACTGAGACACAGGGCTGAAGGACGGGGAGTTTATAAAGACGGTTCATAGATCTTACAATGCGATTTTAAAGAACATTGAGTCCGAAATCCTGAAACAAAAGCAGAAAACCTGGCATTCTTTGTTCTGTAGCCACTGGGTGTTTTATACCCTCAGCCTTGCGAATTTTGAAAGACTGATAGGGTAGATACACTTTGCTTCTACAACCTTCTCCTAATCGAAAGAATAGTTTAAGATCCCATTTTCATGGGACCAAGTCCGTTTCAGACAATTTGGAGTCCATTCGTGTGACTGGTGTGCACGATAGCTCTTGACGGAAGTAAACGATTTCACCTAAACTTTGGACATCGTTGCGTTTCTTTCACCCCCAAATCAGGATCGAAGATGGGGAATGTTGGTCCAAACCCACCAAATGTCTCGAAGGGACATTTCCGGTACCTCTTCCACAAAGTGCCAACATTTATGAATAGAATGGTGAATCCTTCGCGTACCCTAATATTTATATCCTTCACAAGACTGAGGAGACAGATATAAATATTACTTTTGTAACAGACAAAAGGAAAAAAATGGACCCATGATCCCCTTTCAGTTCGTCCTTCTGTCTGTCGATGTTAAATTATAAACAGAGTACAGGTCGCATTTATGATCCGGATGAGATGAATTTTAGCACAGCTCATTTATTTGACCCAAGAACGAACCCAATTGAAATTGGTGAAAATCGGATCGGATATAGATATAGCTCCCATATATATTTTCTTCCGATTTTATGTAAATGGTACACCAAATTTCCACGGTTTGCCTTATTGAGACAACATTTGGCGTAACTTATGGAAACGAGCCTAGGATATAGTATGTTAAGTTTCATTGAAATCGAATCTGATATAGATAGAGCTCCATTATATACTTTCGTCCAATTTTAGGTATCGTCCGATATAGGGTATCATATAGTCGGCCCGTGTGACTGTTGAACTTCTTTTACTAATTTTTATTTTTTTTCTTCTATTTTGTCAATTAAAGCACTCAAAGGAGAGATGATGACCTCGAGTTAAAGATTAGTGTATTTTACGAACTTAAAATAAATTATACACCGAAAATAATTCTTACCGTAATATAATGACCCGATGTTGGTAGAGCATTTAAAAATCTATTTACAATGGTTGTTGTTGTAGAACTATATGTCGGCTGAGTTGGTGGAGGATTGGCAAGAAAATTATTATTAGTATTGCTGCTGGATTTTGGCAACTCCGTTTTTAGGACATTTAACTTCGTAATTGTGGGACCAAAACTTAGCGGCGATTGAGGCAACGAAGCAACAGTTGTTGGTGGTATGGCATCAATGATGGGAACAACCTGTTTGGGAGCACCCAATTCATCTACATTGACAGTAAATGCGGTGACCAAAGGTGCCGCCTGTATCCGAATATCATTCTTATCGACAATTTCAATATTTTCACCATCTTCGTTGTGGGTTGGTCTGGGTGTGGTCGTTGTAGTTGTTGTCGTTGTGGTTGTAGTACGTCTTGTGGTCGTTCGGGGACGTGGTGTTGTCGTAGTCGTCGTTGTTGTTGTGGTGCTGGTCGTACTAGCTTTCAGTTTCGAATTGCGTATTTCAAATTTAATTTCATCCAGACTGTTCGATGAAATTTCATTAGATTGCAAACTATGGCCAACACTGCGGGCAGTTTGATGATTTGAATTTGTATCGTCTGCAGCGGAATTATATGTCACAATAACTGGGGCGCCGAAGTTAAGCTTCTGTGATTTCCTCAATGATTTTGTTTTATTTATAAATGCCAATAATGGTTGTTCCTGGGCATGATTCTCATCATAGGTCGCCGTAAAGAATTGCACCGATGGCAAAATACCATCTGTGGCCCCCGTACTTTCTTCAAGAATTTCATCTTTGGTTTGTGTTACCAATGGTAGTGCCGTTGTACTTTGTATTGTAATGTGTGATAGGGTGGGACTGGGTGTGGTGGCAGCATCATCACCTCTTTGCTGAGTGTCATCTTCAGATTGTTCCTCGCCATCGTCATCATCGGCCGCCTGAGCTTCTTCTTGTTCCAGTTTATCTATGGCACGTAATAGGGCTTGTCTTACAGATATATCTAATTTTTGTATGGCCTCGCGTGGTATGATCTCATTGGTTTCCGTTGAGCTCTCCTCATCCGCCAAAATGTTTGGCGCAGCCAATAAACACAGTAGAAGGCAGGTGATAAGTGTCTGAAATAGAAAAAGAAGAAAGAAAATTACTCAAGGGAAAAGTAAATAATCCAAGCCTTGCCTAAGGCCTTGAAAAAATATTCTTTAAAAACATCCACGCCTTGCCTAAGGCCTTGAAAAAAATGTTCTTTAAAAATATCCACGCCTTGCCTAAAGCCTTGAAAAAAATATTCTTTAAAAAAAATCCACGCCTTGTCCAAGGCCTTGAAAAAATATTCTTTAATAAATCCAGACAGAACAGACATATAATTTTTAGAGGACCATTGAAATGAAATTGGGCGAAACTAAATGTGTGATCTACACACATACATTCTAAAATCTATGAAAAATTGTTTCAATCGGATTCTTTTGTGTACCATTTGTATGAAATCGAACAAAATAATGTATGTGGAACTATATGTAAATCTGGACCTAATTGAGAAACGGCATATACCGTTTGGTATGCTGCAGCACAGAGCGCTGTTCACAATTTTGTCTCGTGTATATATAAATCGGAAGAAACTATATATTGGAGCCCTATCTAAATCAGAACCGATTTTCACAAAACGTCATATACATTAGTAAGGACCTATCTCAATACGTTGTGCAAAATTTTGTATCAATCGGACAAAACTTGGGAGTTTGGTGGACCATTTACCAAAAAATCCGTATAAGGGAGATATATCCAATTCTTAACCGATTTTCACAAAACTTCGTATACATCAATGTGGACCTATTTTAATATGCTCTGCAAAATTTTGTCTCAATCGAAAAAAATGGAAAGTTTGGTGCACCATTTACCAAAAATCCGACGAAACTATATATGAGATCTGAACCGATTTCAACAAAACTTCGTAACTATCAAACAGGACCTAATGCAGTAGGCTGTGGAAAATTTTGCCCAATCGGAAAAATATTGGGAGTTTGGTGCACAACTTACATATAATCGGATAAACTATATATGGGAGACATATATTTAAAAGTGAACCGATTTTATCAAAACTTCACATACATCAAACTGGACCTTATTTTTATTATGCTGTCCAAAATTTTATCTCAATCGGAAAAATATTGGAATTTTGGTGCATTATTTACATAAAATCGGACGAAACTATATATGGGAGCTATATCGAAATCTGAACCGATTTCAACAAAACTTCATGTACATCAAGCTGGACCTTATTCAGTGTCTAAAATTGCGAGTTTGGTGCTCAATTTACGTAAAATCGGACGAAACTATATATGGGAGCTATATCTAAATCCGAACCGATTTCCACAAAACTTTGCACACATCAAACTGGACTTAATCTAGTACGCTATGCAAAATTTAGTCTCAATCCGACAAACTTTGCGAGTTTGGTGAACAATTTGCCTAAAATCGGACGAAACTATATATGGGAGCTATATCTAACACAAAACTTCGCATACATCAATCAGGACCTAATTCGGAAAAATATTGGAGGTTTGGTGCACCATTTACATAAAATCGGTCGAAAATATATATGGAACCTATATCTAAATCTGAACCGATTTGTCCCAATTTAAATAGGGTTCGTCCTTGGGCCAAACAAATGGGCTGTGCCAAATTTCATCAAAATCGGATCATAAATGCGGTCTGTACTTTGCTCACAAAAAAACATGGACGGACGGGCGGACAGACGGATGGACGGACATGCATAAATCGACTCAGAAAGTGATTCTATGCATATTCTCAAAAGGAACCATGGGTCTATCTCGATTCCTTTTACCTGTTACAAACATATGCACAAAGACATAATACCCTGTACCACAGTGTGGTGAAGGGTATAAATATTCTTTAATAAATCCATGCCTTGTCTAAGGCCTTGAAAAAATATTCTGTAAAAAATCCACGCTTATTTTAGTCCTTAAAAATACATGCCTGGTCCAATCCCCGTAGGGAGCTCTTCATAAATTCACCAAATTAATTGCCTCCTCACCTGTAGCTTTGTAAATTACATTATCTTTAAATGTCTATGCCACACAAAGTGCTCCAGTAATCTCTCAAAGTCCATTATTTTTTTAGCAATTACGTCAAATTATATCGCCTTAGTCATAGCTACTTATGAACATTTTCTATTCATGTTCATATCTATGTACCTATGAATGTCTTCAACCATCCATATCATACCATGCTCACGAAACGGTACAACATGTATGAAGGCGTTATAAGAAAATGAATAAATACACATTTTGTGATTACCACACCTTCAATTACTGTACTGTGTGGGGGAGCAGGAGGAAATTCATAATAATTTCACGTATTATTGTAGATTTGATACATTCGATTACATAATATAATGGCAATATATAACAGGTGAAAAGATCAAAATATGTATGTATATGTATGTGGGTTGAAGAAAGTGCCAATTATAAAAAAGATTTTTATTTGTGTATTTGGAATTGAATAGCGAAAATAAAATACAAGACTGTTCATTAAATAATTATGATGACCTGAGTCTTTTAAAAGTTTTCACCTAATTTAGGCTTATTTAAGGTATTCGTAACTTAATGCAACACAACTTTCAATAACATGCCTAGTCGGATTCTTGTGGAATGAAAATCGAGATTTCCATTCCCAAAATTTAGTCCTTGTAACAAAAACTTAAATACACACGAAGCTTTAAACGTCTTTGTAAAAAAGCTTTTTCATTGCACTTCTCGTGTTTTCTTATTAACCCCAGGCAAGCATGGTTACTAAGACCTCTTATCTCTCGCCACTAAGCCAGTGGTCATAAAATGTGAAAATTTACACCAAGCTTTCCCAACATAGCATCTAAATCTAATAACATTTTTTCACGCTGTGTGAGAGTGGAGATTATTCTCCATTTACTATTTTTTTGGTGTTTCAAAACATCAACCACCTGTTTGGATTTCTAAATGTTAAATAAATCTATCTATGTATGTGTGTAGGTGGCTAAAGCGTAACAATCACACACAAATTCACAGCTTGCTGTTGTTTTTTTTTTGTATTTTTAATGGAAAATTGTATAAATGCAATTTCTCGGAAAAAAACATAGACGTTTTTTTTACTTCTCTATTGCTAATGATTTTTCTAGCATATTGAAAATAAAAATATAGATATATGTATTTTATGTATGTGCAATATTTTTATAAATTCCTATTAGAGTTGCATTGAATAAAAAAACGATTGTGCAAATATTTAATAGCAATTTAAAGGAATAATAACTTATATCAATACAATTAAATATACATATGCAAATATCAAATAGGATAACAAATTGGATTAATGAAAACAACACAAGTGGATTTATTTAAACAAAAAGTGTTGAAAAACGGAACAAAAAAAAATTGTATAAAACAACATGTTCCCTGTAGCTGTGTCGTATTAATGTTTTTTTTACTGTTACTTTTTATAAGTCATATAAATATAGGCTGATAAAAAAATTATGCTAGATTTTTGGATTTTTATACACTCCACTATGGGTCAGAGATCCAATTTTTTTGGCCATAATTAGAGCAGTGCGTTTATGAAATAAATAAATATCGGATATAAAGATTTCGAGGACGCTGATTACGATTCAGCAAGAAAAAAAGTAAAAATGTAATAGGGTGATGCGAAAACGGCGGTCATTTATTTTAAAGTTGAATTAATCAAATTATTGTTGAACACGTTTTGTAGAGCTATGGCCACTGATTACAAGTCTTAAATCAGATTTAGAAAATCAATTAAAATGGATCCAAAATGGCGCATTAAATATAAGAAAAAAACTTAATATTTTATTTCTTTGCAGTATTTAAAATAGTATGATATCACATTCTTTATTTATTATGGTCTTAAAACTATATCATACCTTAAGTATATTTGAATTATAGCCAATTTGGTTGACAAACGTGCTCAAAATCCCCAAACCACCAAATAATGGGGGTCCATTTATGTGTTGCCTACTCCGAAACCTAAGTCGATATTGATTGCAAACCCATTTTGGTTGAATATGCATAGAATCACTTTTTAAGTCGATTTATGCATGTCCGTCCGTCTGTCCATGTTAAATTGTATACAAAGTACAGGTCGCATTTTTAATTCGAATAGGATGAAATTTGGCACAGCTCATTTATTTGGACCAAGGACGAACCGTATTGAAATTGACAAAAATCGGTTCAGATTTAGATATAGCTCCCATATATATTTTCGTCCGATTTGGTGTAATTGGTGCAGCCCCTATATATCTTTCGATTTGCACGAAATTTGGCACAGCTTACTGAATTAAGTCTAGAATGATGTGTGTTAATTTTCGTGAAAATCGGTTCAGATTTAGATATAGCTCTCATATATATTTTCGTCCGATTTTAGGTAAATAGTGCACCAAAGCCCCTACACATCTAGAATGATGTGTGTTAGGTTTCGTGAAAATCGGTCCAGATTTATATATAGCTCCCATATATAGTTTCGTCCGATCTAAGGTAAATTGTGTACCAAAGTCCCTATATATCTTTCGATTTTTGGCATAGCGTACTAAAGTAAGTCTAGAATGATGTGTGCAAAGTTTCGTGAAAATCGGTTCAGCTTTAGATATTGCTCCTATATATATGTATCTTCGTCCGATTTAAGGTAAACGGTGTACCAAAGTCCTTATATATTATTCGATTTGCACGAAATTTGGCATAGCGTACTGAATTAAGTCTATAATGATGTGTTTCGTGAAAATCGGTTCAGGTTAAGATATAGCTCCCATATATAGTTTCGCCCGATTTTAGGTAAATAGTCCACTAAAGTCCCTGGAAATGTTTTGATTTCCTCGAATTTTGGCACAGCGTACTGCATTAAGTCTAGAATGATGTGTGCAAAGTTTCGTGACAAACGGTTCAGATTTAGATATAGCTCCCATATATATATATACATCCGATTTTAGGTAATTAGTGCACCAAAGTCTCTGAAAATCATTCGATGTGCATGAAATTTGTCATAGCGTATTGAATTAAGGCTAGAATGATGTGTGCTAAGTTTCGTGAAAATCGTTTCAGATTTAGATATAGTCCCC